AGTGGTAGAGCACTTGCCTAGCACATGTGAGGCACTGGGTTCAATCCTGAGCACCATATAAAAATTAAAAAATGAAATAAAGGTATGTATCTCTAACTAAAAAAAATTTTTTTAATTAAAAAAAAAAAAAAGTACTGGAATATATCTCAGTGGTAAAGTGCCCCTGGGTTCAATCCCCAGTACTAAAAAGAAGGAAAGAAGAAATATAAATGGTGATTATTTTTTGAAGTTGTCTCAGCAAGTCCTTGCTGCAAAAAGAACTGCTCCAAAACCGTGACTTCCAATAGCAATCACTGAATGAAGGAACAAACAAGAAATAGGGAAAACACACAAACAGAATAAAAATAATTTCAGGGCAAACACTCTGCCACTATTTTATTTTAAAAATAAATTCAGTAGCTCAGTGGCAAAGTGCTTGTTGGCATGCACTGGGCCCTGAGTTCAATCCCCAATACAGAAAATTTAAAAAAACTTAGCCAGGTGGTGGTGGTCCACACTTCTAATCCAAGCTACTCTTGAGGCCAAGGCAGGAGGATTGCCAGTTGGAAGCCAGCCTGGAATCTTAGTGAATGCTGTCTCAAGATAGAATTAGAACTGGGGTTGTGATAGAGAGCTCGCCCACCACATGTGAGGCACTGGGTTCCATCCTCAGCACCGCATAAAAATAAATAAATAAAATAAAGGTACTGGAAAAAAAAAATAGAATTAAAGCTCTTTGTGGTGGTGCATGCCTGTAATCCCAGTGGCTTAGGAGGCAGAGGCAGGAAGATCGAAAGTTTGAAACCAGCCTTAGCAAAACTTAGTGAGGCCCTACACAACATAGTGAGATCCGTTCTCAAAATAAAAAAATAAAAAGGACTGGAGATGTAGTTCAGCACCTCTGAATTCAATCCCTGGTACCAAAAACAAAACAAAGAAACCCACAACCCTTCCCAAGCCCTTGAATGTACCTCCCCAGTTCTCCCCTCCCTCCTCAGTCATAAATAATCACTACTCTACTTTCTAGATCTTCAGATTGGCCAACTGGGGACATATCTTGTGAATGGAATCACTCGACATGTGAATTGTGTGTCTGGTTCTTTCAGCATAGTGTTTTTGAAGGTCATCTCTATTTTCATACTTCATTCTTATTCACTGCTGAATAAGAAGCAAGGTCTCTGGGCCAAGTTTCCAGGAGCAGAATCGGAGGCCCATGCAGTCTTACCCCGAGACTCAGCCCTGTGACTTCCCTCCAGGTGTGGACGACACTGTCTCAGTGCTACTTCAGTACCCAGGAGGGGTCCATGGCAGCTTCACCTGTAGCATCAGCACAGATCTCTCCAACATGGCCTCCGTGAACGGTACCAAGGGCATGGCCCAGGTGAGGTCCAACAGGCCCGAGCACTGGCAATTGGGCCCTCAGGACGGGAAGGGCAACTGGGGAACTGGAGTTGAACCAGCTGTTTTTCACCGCATTTCTAAGGAACCCATCCTCCTTGACATCCAAGCCAAAGGATGGGGTTTGAGCCAATCAGGTCTTTCCAGAGGGTGAACCTATTGGAGGGCCAAGTGTTCTTAGTCCTAAGAACCAAGGGCCTGACACATGCTAAGCATGAGCTCTACCACTGAGCCACACCCAGCTCCAAGAAATCACTTTGTTTTAGGTCCTGGGAGTTGAACCCAGGGCACTTTTTCATGGAGCTATATCCCCAGTTTGGTTTGTTTTTGAGACAGGGTTCCAACCCCAGCCCTTTTTGTTTCTCTCACTAAAGAGAAGACCCTGCTGGGCTGGGTTGTGGCAGGGTGTTTGCCTTGAACAAGTGAGGCACTGGGTTCAATCCTCAGCACCACATAAAAATAAGTAATTAAAATAAAGGTATCATGTCCATCTACAATTAAAAGAATATTTTTTTAAAAAAAGAGAGAGAGGGGCTGGGGATGTGGCTCAAGTGGTAGTGTGCTTGCCTAGCATGCATGAGGCACTGGGTTCAATTCTCAGCACCACATAAAAACAAAATAAAGATATTATGTCCACCTAAAACTAAAAATAAATATTGAAAGAGAGAGAGAGAGAGAGAGAGAGAGAGACCCTGCAGAGATCAGTCTTGAACTTGGCAATCCTCCTGCTTCAGCCTCCCTAGTTGCTGGTATTACAGTGTTGTGCCACCACACCCAGCAAGAAACCAGTTCTTATCAACCATATTTAGAGGACAATTGATTGGAATTGCCTCCAGGGCAGGTTCTGGGTGTTTTCAAAGGTCAACTTCACTGGGTTTCCTTGCAGAAAAATCTCCTATTCTTGGGCTGGGAATGTGTGTGTGGTAGAGTGCTTACCTAGCTTGCCAGAGGCCCTGTGTTGAAGCCCCAGCACAGGGAAGAGAGGAAGGGGGAGAGGGGAGGAAGGAGGAAGGAAGATAAGGTGGGAAAGGGAGGAAGGAAAAGGAAAGGGGAGGAAGAGAAAGGAAAAGAAATCCCATTTGTAGAAGCCAGACCACAGAACTTGACCCTTGTCCTGTGTTTCTGAGGGGCCTCAACCATGCCTCTGTATTTTCATTTTGGGCTAGAAACGGGCTGGGAACCATTTAACTTCCCAGGGCTCTGAAGTTAAAAAAAAAAGGAGATCTCTTAGTCAATGAGAAGGTGCTGGATGGTCTGACCACCCTTTCTGCTAAGGGGATTCACAAAGATATGAAGATAAGCCCTCTTCACTGGGCCTAAGTGTTACCCGCTGTTTACCAGTGGTGAGTCCTTGCTTCCCCAATGCTGAAGCATAACACCAGAGAAGCAGGCGGAGGCAAGTGGAAAGTAGAAGCTTTATTAAGGACAGCAAAAAAGACTTCCCCCCTGTGGCATGCATTTCCGTCCTTTGTTCTGTTATCTTGCAGTGTTGAAATGTAGGTGGGAAGGCCCAAAAGGTGTGGGACAAAAGGGCTGGAGGAGTAATCAGGGCAGGAAGGGCCTGGGGCGGCTTTGGATTAGCACCTCCTTGTTTGCTGGGAGCTGCTTCATTAACATTTCCTTAGGATGGGCTCTGGGCCTTGGGAACAGGAACATTTCAATTTCCCCAAGTGCTGCTCTGTTTTCCTGGGCTCCACTCTCTATAATGGCCTCCATTTTGTTTATCCTACTCGATGTTAGACCCCATTTACCTAACTGTACTACCTCTCTTTAAATCTGGCTTCAGAAGGAGCACCTGTCCGCAAGCACAGAAGTTTGTTGTTGGGGAGAAGACAGGATTCTAGTGTGACAGTGGCACCCCTAAGGAACAAACCTCTGGCAACCAGGAAGGGGTGGGGGGAGGGCACACACCTGGGATGGACCGGGCATGCCCTCAGTTACCAGGGCCCTTAGGGAGGCCTCCGAGCCTCACCTGGCGTGCTCTAGGGTGGAAGTCCCTAGCAGCCCTGTTGGAGAGGATGGCAAGCCATTTCCTATCTTCCCCCAGGTTTTCCCATCCTGGTGTCCAACAAAGTTGGTGGTGAATGATGAGCATAAGGAGTTCCCGCTGCCCCAAGACCCAAAGAAGTATAATTTTGAAAATGGGTCAGGCATGAGCTACGAGGCCATTCACGTCCGCGAGTGCCTGCGCAAAGGTAAGAATGCGGAGGCCACCGCAGGGGCCAGGCCTAGAAGGGGTTGGGTCCTGTCCACCCACCTTCAGACGCACAGGTGGCCGGTTTGGAACTACATTTCCCAGGATGCCCTGGGGCACCCGCCTATCTAAACCATGCCTGTGCCTTGGGGGACTCTGGGAATGATCCTTTTTCGTTTTTGTTTTCTTTTTGGTTGTGGTGTTTGACTTGGAGGGTCCCTAACTGCATTCTCTCCTCAGGCCTCAAGGAAAGTCCCATCCTTCCTCTGGCAGAAAGTGAGCTTCTGGCTGAGATCCTCCAGGAGGTGAGGAAGATCATTGGAGTCACCTTCTCCCAAGACAAATGCTGATTCCTGGCCTGAATAAATAAATAGTTTCCGTGGACATCTTGGATCTTGGCAGTGTTTTGGCAGGAACTGGAGAGCTCACCAGCAAAGGTCACTAGAGTACAATTTGCGTGGAATGATGTGGGCTGGGAGAGGAAGGCGAGGTCAAGGCCACGTTTCTCACAAGCTTCTGGGGCAGACACTCTCATGGCCTCTCTGGAGTTTGGCCTTCACTCCTTTGGAGGGATTTTTTTTTTTTACAAAACAACTTGATTTTTCACACCAGAAATAATTCTCTTTCTGGGCCCCTAAAAGCTTTTGTTCTTCCTGCTCTTCCTGCATGTAATTGCATGTCCTCAAATTCATTTGTATGAGTCAGGCTGTTCATTTTTTAAAAAATATTTTTGGTTGTAGGTGGACACAATACCCCTATTTTATTCACTTATTTATATGTGATGCTGAGGATCCAACCCAGTGCCTCACAAGTGCTAGGCAAGAGCTCCACCACTGAGCCACAACCCCAGCCGAGGCTGTTCTTTTTTTGGTACCAGGGATTGAACTCGGGGGCACTGAGCTATATCCCCAGCCCGATTTTATATTTTATTTAGAGACAGAGTCTTCAATGAGTTGCTTAGTGCCTCGATTTTGCTGAGGTTGGCTTTGATCCTCCTGCCTTAACCTCCCAAGCCACTGGGATTACAGGCTTGCACCACCATGCCCGGCCAGGCTGTTCATTTTTAAAATGTCAGAAAAACAACTCAGCGTGGTCAGGAGGGAAGATGGGATTCTTGGTAATAAACCTTCAAGACAGTCTGGCATCAGGCCAGACTTGTCTTTCTTCATCTCCTCACCTTCCTGAGTGTTCGTTTACTGTCTGAGATGCTGGGTAAGTGTAGGTATGAGGGTAGGAGCCAGTGACCTCTAGAAGGGGACAGGGTGTGAATACCAAGGTCCACTGTCCTCCAGCTTCTTTCTTCCTTTGCTCATCAGTAAAAGAGAGATACTAGTACTAACTAAACTCTGATGGGGAGTCTCTTGATTGGCATCTTATTTCATTTGGGCTGCTCTAAAACAAAATACAGAAAACTTCCAACTTACAATGATTCAACTTATGATCTTTCAATTTTATGATGGTGCAAAAGTGATATACATTCATAGATAATGTTTTTTGAATTTTGCAATTGGAATTTTTCCTGAATGGGTGACAGGTGGTCCAATCCTCTCAAAGGGATGAGGCAGTGACAGTAAGCTACACAGCCAGTCAATCCTGAGGAAAAGAGAAGAAAAAAGAGTGAGGGGTTGGGGCACACACTGTAACCCCAGCGACTCAGGAAGCTGAGGCAGGAGGATCACAAGTTTGAGGCCAGCCTTGGCAGCTTGGTGAGACCCTGTCTCGAAATACAAAAAGGAAAAGGGGACTGGGAGAAGGGGCTGGGGTCGTAGTTCTGTGGTAGAGTGCTTGCCTCGCAGGCATGAGGTCCTGGGTTCGATCCTCAGCACCTAAATAAATAAATAAATAATAAAAAGGGCAGGGATGTTAAATGGTTAAAGTGCCCTTCAATATCCAGTACCCCCCCCCC